TTCATTATTGATCACATGCATTTATAGCGCTGCACTTGTCTTTAACATAGAATAGTTATGTGATTAAAGAGAATGAAGATATATAATTATTTTGGGAAATTAGAAGTATATAAATTATTTGAGATATAAGTGTGAAAATGTTTAACATTTGAATACAGAATGTATGACATTCATTAGTAAATGCATTAGTTTCCTGATCATTTTGGAGAAACAGCAAAAAAAAAGAAATAGAAGAAAATAGAAAATTCTAATACAGGTGCACTATTTATTACATTCTAAGGATTCTCTTTTGCCATCATAAAAACGCCAATATTAATAAAGCCCACGCTTGTGCGCCATCTAGCGAACATATCTGGTATTGCACCTAAAAATGTGCCAGACGGGATACCACATTTAGTAATAGCAAAGTAGTCAGTAGACGCTCGTTAATGAGCTTGCTAGACGCTGGTCAGACGACTGATTGATTGACCGGAGTCTGCCTGAATGGTCAGACTCTGCTAGTAGACTCACATCTTAGTGAATCAGGGCCATACAGTCTCGAATACAGATTTCTTTGTCCTGATACGCTATACAGTATATGTAGGCTGTATGTTTGTTTGTGCATGTGACGTCTGACATGCTAGTTGGTACTAAAGCAATGTTGTCTTTCTATGGTGGTGGAAGGTGGTTTATTATTTTTTATACAGTAGTATCTTGGATATTTTTGTAATTTAATGAAGGCTTTTCTAATTACCGTATTTTTCACTCCATAAGACGCACTTTTTTCCCCCCAAAAAAGGGGGAAAATGTCAGTGGGTCTTATGGAGTGAATATAGAGAGGCCGGTCCGGTATTTCCGCCGCTGACACCGTGTCAAAATACCGGGCCGGCCGCTCAGCTCTTCCGTGCAGCAGGACCTTACCTTATTCTTCCCTCTCCGGCATCTTTAGTATGGGAACCCGGCTGTGACAGCCGGGTGCTCACTGCGCATGCAAGAGAAGCACTGTGCTTTGTGAATGGCCTGGCGTCTTCTGGGACCTGTCATGTGTCCCAGAAGACGCCGGGCCATTCACAAAGCGCAGCGCTTCTCGCGCATGTGCAGTAAGCACCCGACTGTCACAGCCAGGTTCCCGCACTAAAGGGAAGACACCTCCGCGGAAGTGGGAGTGGGTACCTGTCAAACTCAGGTACCCACTCCCCCTCCCTCCCCAAAGGTCCACAGTCTCCTTGTCATCCTTTGTACTGTCTGCAGTCTTTGGTCATCTCCTGTACTGTCTGCAGTCTCTGGTCATCCCCTGTACTGTCTGCAGTTTTTGGTCATCCCCTGTACTGTCTGCAGTCTCTGGTCATCCCCTGTACTGTCTGCAGTCTCTGGTCATCCCCTGTACTGTCTGCAGTCTCCGGTCATCTCCTGTACTATGCCCGCAGTCTCTGGTCATCCCCTGCACTATGCCCGCAGTCTCTGGTCATCCCCTGTACTGTGTCCGCAGTCTCTGGTCATCCCCTGTACTGTGTCCGCAGTCTCTGGTCATCCCCTGTACTGTGTCCGCAGTCTCTGGTCATCTCCTGTACTGTGTCCGCAGTCTCTGGTCATCTCCTGTACAGTGTCCGCAGTCTCTGGTCATCTCCTGTACTGTGTCCGCAGTCTCTGGTCATCTCCTGTACTGTGTCCGCAGTCTCTAGTCATCTCCTGTACTGTGTCCGCAGTCTCTGGATATCTTCTGTACTATTGTTAATAACCGTCTGGCGGTGCCTCTAGCAGTCCACAGGACAGGATTCCCCAGAGTGCGGAGTCTAAGCCTCAGTCTGCTTATTCACCAGGGCCCCTGATGGTGGGGATGGACTTGGAGCAGACAGGAACCAGGTCGCGGCCCCTGAGTACACCCGCCTGTGGTAGAGGGATCCGCCAGAGGTATATGCAGGTAGAGAGCCTAACGTGAAGAGGCAGAAGGCTGGGTCCGAGCAGGATGGATGGATGGATGACAGAGAAAGCGTGGTCAAACAGGCCGGGTAAGTAACAGTGGGATCAGCGTAGTACAAGGCAGCAGGCAGAAGAGTAGTCAGATCACTCGCCGGGGTCGGTAACAGAAGGTCAGATCAGGTTTAGGGATATCCAGAAGAGAGGTCAAACTAGCCAGGGGGTCAGAGCAGGAGAAGTCAGCAGAGGTCAGGTTCAGGCAAAGTCAGCAATGAATCTTAAATAGCAGGGATACAGGAACAAAGACCATACGGCAATGAGTGTAAGTGCAGGGCAGGTTTAAATAGTGCACCCTGCCATTGGTGCCAGGCGAGCGTCCGCGATCGCGAGTGCGCATGCGCGGCCGCCACCGCCCAGGTCCTAGTGTCCGCCGGCTAGTGTAGATTGGCGCTCCGCGCATGCGCGGATCCAATCGGTGCCACGATCCCTGACATTGCCACCCCCCTACAGGCATCTTCCGGATGCCCAACCGATCTCTCCTCCATGGGTGCCTACGATAGAACTCCCGACCAGTCTAGGGGCGTGAACATTTTGGGCCGGTTCCCACGCATTCTCTTCAGGGCCATAGCCCTTCCACTTGATCAGGAACTGTGTCTGGCCGCCTCTTTTCCTGCAATCAATGATTGCCTCAACCTCAAATTCTCCTTGTTCGTTGATGGTTATATGCTCCGGAGGCCTGGACCTTCGGTCCGGGAAGGGATCTGGCATTGCTGGCTTCAGTAGTGACATGTGAAACATTTGGTGAATCGTGAAGGTGCCTGGGAGTGCCACCTCATTGATCCTCCGTTTCACATGGAATGGGCCTATAAATTTCGGCCCCAGCTTTTTCGAGGGGCAAGACATCCTCAAATTGGTAGTAGCTAGCCAGACCTGGTCCCCTGGTTGCAAGCTTAGCTCATCTCTTCTTTTCCTGTCGAAGGCCCTCTTACTGTCCTCCTGGGCCTTTGTAATGGCTTCTTGAAGTACCTTGTTATTGGTGGAGAAAAAATCCAGCATATTCTGTGTAGCCGGGAATCAGGTCAGGTAAAAACATGGGGTGAAATCCGTAATTGGCGAAGAATGGGGATTGCCCCGTAGCAGAATGATTCCTGTTATTGTACACGAACTCCGCCAATGGCAAGAGTGCCAGCCAGTCGTCTTGGAGAAAAGATGTGTAACATCTCAAGTACTGTTCCAGCGTCTGGTTTGTCCTGTCTGCCCGTTCATCTGCGGGTGGTAGGCCGATGAAAGGGACAGCTTGATTCCCAGAATCTCGCATAATGCTCTCCAGACCTTTGAGGTAAATTGGACCCTGGTCCGAGATGATGTCTTCTGGAATTCCATGGAGCTTTACTATTTCTTTTACAAAGGCTGTTTCCATAGCCGAGGGCGTACTCTTTAGTGGCAGAAAATGGGCCATCTTTGATAAACGATCAACGATTAAAAAAAAAATCGCTGAATGGCCTTGGGATAGTGGGAGCTCCACAATAAAATCCATCGAGATCATCTGCCAAGGTCGATCCAGTATGGGCAATGGTTGTAGTAAGCCCCAGGCCTTACTTCTAGTGGGCTTATTCCTTTGACACGTGGTGCATGTTTTCACGTAAAGTTCACAATCTCTAGCCATGTTTGGCCACCAGAATGTCCGCTGGAGTAGTTCCAAGGTTTTCGCGGTTCCAAAATGGCCTGCCAGAGGATGATCGTGGCAGTGCCCCAGAACTAAGGTTCGGGCCTCCTCAGGTACCACAATTTGCCCTTCTTGCCAAAAGAGACCCTCCTTGCTCTGTAGAGACACCCTGGGCGGGGATTGGCATTCCCATGGATGCGGTCTGTAACCTAGAGCGTAGTTCTGTTTGGAGGGTGAGAAAGTTTCCCATGGACAGGATAGTGTCTGGTTTAGCGACTATTTGGGTTCTCAAACATATGTGATAGAGTGTCGGGCTTTGTATTCTTGGACCCGGGTCTGTAAGTGATGTGGAACACAAATCAGGAGAAAAAGAGTGCCCATCTTGCTTGGCTTGGCTGTTCTCAAATACTCCAGGTTCTTGTGGTCAGTAAAAATCAAAATTGGATGTGAGGCCCCTTCCAGTAGGTACAGTCAGGTCCATAAATATTGGGACATCGACACAATTCTAACATGTTTGGCTCTATACACCACCACAATGGATTTTAAATTAAATGAACAAGATGCGCTTTAACTGCAGACTGTCAGCTTTAATGTGAGGGTATTTACATCCAAATCAGGTGAACGGTGTAGGAATTACAACAGTTTTCATATGTGCCTCCCACTTGTTAAGGGACCAAAAGTAATGGGACAGAATAATAATCATAAATCAAACTTTCACTTTTTAATACTTGGTTGCAAATCCTTTGCAGTCAATTACAGCCTGAAGTCTAGAACGCATAGACTTCACCAGACCCTGGGTTTCATCCCTGGTGATGCTCTGCCAGGTCTCTACTGCAACTGTCTTCAGTTCCTGCTTGTTCTTGGGGCATTTTCCCTTCAGTTTTGTCTTCAGCAAGTGAAATGCATGCTCAATCGGATTCAGGTCAGGTGATTGACTTGGCCATTGCAGAACATTCCACTTCTTTCCCTTAAAAAACTCTTTGGTTGCTTTTGCAGTCTGCTTTGGGTCATTGTCCATCTGCACTGTGAAGCGGCGTCCAATGAGTTGTGAAGCATTTGGCTGAATATGAGCAGATAATATTGCCCGAAACACTTCAGAATTCATCCTGCTGCTTTTGTCAGCAGTCACATCATCAATAAATACGAGAGAACCAGTTTCATTGGCAGCCATACATGCCCACGCCATGACACTACCACCACCATGCTTCACTGATGAGGTGGTATGCGACGGATCATGAGCAGTTCCTTTCCTTCTCCATACTCTTCTCTTCCCATCACTCTGGTACAAGTTGATCTTGGTCTCATCTGTCCATAGGATGTTGTTCCAGAACTGTGAAGGCTTTTTTACATGTCGTTTGGCAAACTCTAATCTGGCCTTCCTGTTTTTGAGGCTCACCAATGGTTTCCATCTTGTGGTGAACCCTCTGTATTCACTCTGGTGAAGTCTTCTCTTGATTGTTGACTTTGACACACATACACCTACCTCCTGGAGAGTGTTCTTGATCTGGCCAACTGTTGTGAAGGGTGTTTTCTTCACCAGGGAAAGAATTCTTCGCTCATCCACCACAGTTGTTTTCCATGGTCTTCCGGGTCTTTTGGTGTTGCTGAGCTCACCAGTTCGTTCCTTTTTTTTAAGAATGTTCCAAACAGTTGTTTGGGCCACGCCTAATGCTATCTCTCTGATGGGTTTGTTTTTTTTTGTTTTTTTCAGCCTAATGATGGCTTGCTTCACTGATAGTGACAGCTCTTTGGATCTCATCTTGAGAGTTGACAGCAACAGATTCCAAATGCAAATAGCACACTTGAAATTAACTCTGGACCTTTTATCTGCTCATTGTAATTGGGATAATGAGGGAATAACACACACCTGGCCATGGAACAGCTGAGAAGCCAATTGTCCCATTACTTTTGGTCCCTTAACAAGTGGGAGGCACATATGCAAACTGTTATAATTCCTACACCGTTTACCTGATTTGGATGTAAATACCCTCAAATTAAAGCTGACAGTCTACAGTTAAAGCACATCTTGTTTGTTTCATTTCAAATCCATTGTGGTGGTGTATAGAGCCAAAAATGTTAGAATTGTGTCGATGTCCCAATATTTATGGACTTGACTGTACCTCCACTCCTCCAGTGCTGTCTTGATAGCCAGGAGTTCCCGGTCGCCGATGTCATAATTGCTCTCCGCTGACGTCAACTTTCTAGAGAAAAATGCCACCGGGTGCATAAGTTCTTTGGTACCCTTTCGCTAGGACAGGATGGCCCCTACTGCGTTCTCCGAAGCGTCAACTTCCAAAATGTAAGGCAGAGAGGAGTCAGGATGACTAAAGATAGGGGCAGAAGTAAACAGCTTCTTCAAGGTCTCAAATGCTGGTTGAGCCTCGGGCGTCCACCGGAAACAGGTTCCCTGCTTGGTGAGCTGAGTAATGGGAGACACGAGGCCCGAAAAGTTCTTGATGAACTTTCGGTAAAAGTTGGCAAACCCTATGAAGCGTTGTACGCCCTTCTTGTCCGTGGGTACTGGCCATTCTAAGATTGCCGAGACCTTTTGGGGATCCATCGCAACCCCCGTCGTGGAGATGATCAGCCCCAAAAATGCAATGCTGTGCTGAGCAAAGCTGCATTTGTCATACAACCCGTGTTGGCGTAAACGTTCCAACACACTTCTAATATGACCCCTATGGTCTTCCAGAGAAGGGGAAAAGATCAAAATGTCATCCAAGTAAATAACCACACAAATGTCCAGATAATCTCTGAATATGTTATTAATAAAATGCTTAAATGTAGCTGGGGCATTGCACAGTCCGAAGGGCTTTACAAGATATTCAAAGTGCCCAAATCTTGTGCGAAATGCAGTCTTCCACTCGTCCCCCTCCCTTATGCGGACTAGGTTATATGTGCCCCTCAAATCTAATTTGGTAAATACGGCTGCTGTCTTTAACCTTTGGAACAGTTCTGGAACCAAGGGAAGGGGGTAATGATTTTTAATCGTAATCTTGTTCAAGTCACGGTAATCGATACAGGGCCTGAGGGACATATCCTTTTTTTCAACAAAGAAGATTCCTGCTCCGGCCGGTAATGTGGAGGGGCGGATAAACCCTTTCTCGAGGTTCTCGTCAATGTACTCCTTGAGTACCCCCAACTCTCGCTCTGATAGGGGGAAAATCCGTCCGAACGGGATCTCGGATCCGGGTAGGAGGTCGATAGCACAGTCATAGGTCCGATGT